TTTCTTTTCACACACCCTACACGGTGTTCACCTTACCACCGAGCCAGTGCAGGAGAGCAGTGGCAGTTTGCAGACACACACAGGCCATCGACAGCTGTAACTCAGTTAGGGTAACCGTTACCTGTTACCAAGACTGTGCTGCTGTTTGAGAAAGAATATGGATCTAGCTTTTTTAAAATTGTTTCCAACGCTGCGCTCCTCTGAATTGCACAGTTGGGCAATGAAAGCAGCCTGATTTGCTTAAGTGCCCAGCTCCCTGCTGCTCCGACTGCACACGGAAATCAACAGGAGCTGCGAGAAGCTTGGCACTTTGGAAAATCAAGCTACTTCTTTCAGTGCCTAAATATGCAATTCAGGAGCTTAACTTTAGCTACCAATTTCTTTAAAATGCTGACTGTGGAATAGGCCAGCTGATGAAGTGATTAAATCCATACGAGAGAGAAGACTAGCTTAATTTATATAGAAAGCCTCGATAACTGCTCCAGTGACAACAAAAATAGCTCAATACACCAGAAAGCAAAGACTACCAGATTTTCTAATGGTGACTCCTCTATTGTTCTCCAAGAATGGTGCTCAAGCTGTTCTAGTATTGTGAAGGCGACAGACAAGGCGGAAGAGGCACTGCTCGACTAGCGTGCTTAACCATGCAGCCTCAAGAGTCTGAAAGCAGTTTGACAGGAGCCCACAGAAAGATGATCAATTACTGGCGTGAGTCCAGAATGGTTGCATTACTCACGGCTCTCTAGCTGCAGTGCAGAGTCATGTGATAAACGGCATTTATCCTGCCCCTGCACTCTGCCAACTAACGCATCTTTGCCAGAATGGCTCCCCAGATTCTACAGGGACCCAGCGGCTGTGAGCCATTGAAAAAAATCAACAAGCCAGGAAAATGGGCCTCTCCTCCCCCACTCCTCACAAACAGGGAATTTCAACTTAGGCTGCACAGGCCTGAAAAACAGACAGGTAATTCAGTCTCACAGAGACAGATTTATAGTCCAAGACCTTGAAAGCCTGCCAAACTAGAAATAGAAACTTTAGATCATTGAAAAACCAGGGAGAACCATCTTTCCCAAGGGGGGAATGTGGCATTTCAAGCCATGGAATGCCCTGAAAACATCTAAAATACGGCATTTAAAGTAAATTGTAAAACTGTTTTAACATGCATTTTAGTTTTAATTTTCCCCTCCTCCTAAGACCATCTTGATTGGATTTGGTGCCCAAAACACCTGTTTTTTTCAGACAACATAATTTTAACCTTCTAAAACATTCCTCAAACAGACTTTTGTAAACCATGG